AAAAACATAAAATATATAAATACATAAAACCTTAATTAAAAACATTACTAAAAAGAAGAAGAATATAATTCCTGTGCAGACAAAACCCCACATTTTGGGCATTCTCATCTGAGATCTCATGGTATTTGCATTTTAAATGATGAGATTTCAGTGAAGAATACAGAAACCTCACCAGGTTTGGAAATATAGAAGTAACTTATGCATACACTGTCGGGCCTTTAGCAAGACTCCACATTCACTTTTCATGAGATCTACAGGACGATCAAGCAACGGTAGCTAGACTCCGCAAAAAGAGTTGTAGAGACTTCAGAGCCATTTACAGTGGGAAGGGGAAAAGTCTTACATCTGTGCAACCCAGCCTTAAACAATGAAGGGGGTGGAAAAGAGAAAGAGAAGCAAGATTTAGTGCTTACTCCCCATCAGCCCATTTCCCCATCCGCCTTGCTTCCCTTCACAGTGTTTCCAACCTGAACACTTCACTTCCTCCTGTGTTTTTATTAGCTGGTATTTTCAATACATCAGCGTCAGCTATGATGAAACTGGTGGCAGATATTCCTGAAAAGCAGCTGGATCACAGTCCCACGGGCCTAGTTGCTTTACTAGGGAGAGTTCTTAAAGTGACCAGGGCTGGAACAGCCGCAGTTGGAACAAACCTGAATGGGAGATTGTGGGAATGATCCCTGGCACGTAAACAGGGTTGCTTTGAAAAATGTGGAAACGTCTCAGGTTCTTGTACTCGGACCTTGCTACATGCAGGCGTCTTGCTTCGGAGTGTCAAATCAAATATACATCTCCAGTTGGTGCGATACCTCACTTCCTCTCTTGAGGATTCCCCCCCCCAAAAAAGGAGGGGAGCAAGGATTGAACATGACAAACACAGAGAACAAAAACCTTTCACAATCTATGATGGGGGTTATCATTTACTGTCATCTCGTTTATTACCTGCATTGTCAGTGATGAGCAACAGAGAGACACGGCCGAAAAAAAACCCCCAGACAACTTACTTACTTAACAGCACATCACTTACCTGGAACCGTCGCATATCTCGGGGGTTTCCGGCTGTTTTCAAACAGTTCTGGTTGCACTTGAGGAAGAATTTTAAGAAGAATCTGCAGGGGGAGAAAAGAGAACGTGCATGACATCTTCCATTTTAAGAAATTAAAGTCTGATATCATTTAGTTGCTTTGTGCCAATGTGTTTGTGCCCTGTGGCTGGAGCCATCAGGGAGATATCAACTGACTGTTTAAAAGGAGACTGTCAATTAAAACAGATTAAAATGACATTTTTGGCTGCATCTGTAACGCAAGATCTGAAATGATCAGAAACCAGAGATTCTTCCAAGCTTTGTAACCCTGAAGTCATATAAGGAAAGAGAGAACGAATGCAAAGAGAAAGAGAATACATTTATATATACACATACACATGTAAACATAATCAGAAGCACTGTAAATCTTTCATTCCCTTTTCCCTGAGTTTAAAGGGCATTCAGACATTACTGTGTAGCAAAACTGCATTTCTCAAGGAATGTCCACACCACAGCTAGAAGGCCATCAGGATGCTTTGATACATTTATCTGAATGGTAGAGATGTTTTCAGAGGTATAGTTCAGTTGTAGAGTTCTTTGGGAGAGGGGAAAAAGTGCAAAATCTATTTACAAGGTTTAGTTCCCTCAAGTTAAGATCTGGAATTGGTCATACAGTTGAATCTGGTTTTGCTCACTTTCATATTTTTAACAATTTTATTTCTATTCTGTCAGACTTCCACATCAATGCACATTTTTTTAAAAGTCCAAACAAAAGCTGTGTGTATTTTTTGTCACAATTTCTCCTAATACACCCGTTTTACACATTCTTTTTCTCAAATACATCAGTCAGTCAACGCAACATTTTGTATCAAAGGTTCTTATTTTATACGTATTTTTTTCTCATGTATCCTCATTTTTACACACAACTTTCCCTAATCCAATAATGCATGTTAGCAAAATTTTCTCCTAATTTGTGCAAAGTTTTCCAGCACACACTCCCCACTCCTTCTCTTACCTCCATCCCACACACATTCTGGAAAATGTGCTTTTGTTTCTTTCCTGAGCTTCATAAAATTTAGCAAAAAAGCATGCATAATATGAAAGAAAGATAGCGTGAAGAAACAGCAGTGACATCCAAGATGGCACAATGGATGGGATGTTAAGTGTCCCTGTCAGGAGCAAAGGGTTAAACTTCTACATAGCATATTATGTTCATTAAGTGGCCTTGGGCAAATCTCTGCATCTCACTTGAAGTCATTTTACAAGACTTCTGGGAATTTAAATGATCGGAATTCATATATCAGCTGCTCTCAGAGCCTTCCTCCCACAGATATCCTAGAGGATTGCCTTATTTTGTGCTATAAGACAACATATATAATACTCCCCTTCTAATGTTATCTTCTTGAGACTATAGTTGTTGCAGATTTGTACCTGATATTCTCACATTCAGGTCTTTAACCACAACACTACTGTCTGTATGCAACCTTTCTTCAGGTTGGTTGAATATTCACACAACATGGACACCATAAATTTGTGGTGTCGGAATTGGGTATGGTTCTGTTTAAGAGCTAATCTGAGATGTTAAACAGGTTGGATTAAGATAGATGAATCCTAGATTGAAATTCCCATAAGGAAAACAATGAGTTGATCTTAGGCCAGGCATTATCTTTTGGCCTAAGACATAGGATTGTGGTAGGGATAAAGAAGAATGGGAAGAGTCTCAACAGATGGTAGCATCTGGCCAAATTAGTCTGAGCTAAAAAAATCTGATGGTTTCGACCTGGTTAGTACTTTGATAAGATACCTCCAAGGAATGCTATGGCTATAGACTAGACAGAAAAAGTTGCAGAAACATCCTGGAAGAAGACAGTAGTAAATTACCTGCCATGAAAACTACATGGATACATTCTTGGAGTCACTAAGATTCAAGTTTAAATTGAAGAATAGGATAGGAAGAACCATATACAACTTCTTGAATTTCTTAGAGGTTCAAAATGAGTTGAAAATATGTTAATAAATACGAAGAGGAATATGCTCATACAGCATATTCCTTTTCATCATATGAAGGATCAGTGGTCAGACCTTTGGAAGCCAGCTGAAGATCTTTTTACATGCCCAAGCTATTCAGTCCTAAAACATTTTATGGCTTTTTAGCTCGTACACAAATAATATTTACAACTGCCCCCACTTATTTATTTATTTTTAACGTTGGTTCTAGTCTGCTTATTTGAACTTAATCTAAATCTTATTAGAGGTGTTTTTCCTTCCTTCCTTCCTTCCTTCCTTCCTTCCTTCCTTCCTTCCTTCCTTCCTTCCTTCCTTCCTTCTTTCTTTCTTTC